ACAGCCTTGTGTTCTGTGTCCTGGAGTGTTCATTGTCAGCAATTCCGACAGAAAGTTATAGTTGATCGTTCCCTTCTAGAGCTTGCCTGGCTACATATCTTAATTACATCCGTTTCAGAGATTTGCTTATTTGTAGGCCGACTGTTGGTTGCTGGCCTCTCAGGCAGAAAAGCTTGGACTGCAGAGGAAAAATCCATAGTTAGGGATACGACATACTTGATAGGGAAGCAACGGTTATATCCCCCACCCGCGGGAACCCAAAATCGTTAAAGAACTCAGTGCTGATTACGAAACAATGCACCTCTGACTAGGTCAACACAATGCCAGCTTGTTTGTTGTCTGCTTATCGAGCGGCGATGCAAAGTTGCCAGATCATAGATGAATGATGCTTCTTTAGATTCCATGCTTTGTTTTAACTTTTTGTGTCTCGGCCATAATAAAATCAGTCTCATTACTTAATTGTCGGACCTTGTACTTCTGCTATATCTTCTTCTTCTCTGCAACATATACTTCTTCTTCTCTGTAACATTTAATTCTTCTTCTCTGTAACATATACGTCTTCTTCTCTGTGACATATACTTCTTTTCTGTAACGTATACTTCTTTTTCTCTGTAAAATAGACATCAACTTCTCTGTGACATATACTTCTACTTCTCTGCGACATATACTTCTTCTTCCCTGTAACATACATACCCTTCTATTTCTCTGTGACATATACTTCTTCTTCTCTCTGACATATACTTCTTCTTCTTCTCTGCAACGTGTACGTCTGCTTTCATGTAACGTATACCTCTACTTCTCTGTAATATATACTTCTACTTCTCTGTAACGAATACTTCTCTCTTGCTCGTCCTCTATATCTATATGTCTTCCCCTCTGCTCCTTCTGTAGCGATGTCTTCTCCGACTAGGATCTGACTGGTCACCAGTGACATTGTAGACATGCCGTGTGTCTACCAGCTGCCCACCGGTCATCTTGGAGTCCAGCTGGAGGACACACTTCAGACATGCACAACAGACGGCCAACAAGCAAACCAAATACCAACTACTGAATAGGGGAAATTTTCCACGTTTTCAGGCGTATTGGGCACATAGGGCTTGATCTGTATTTTACAGACCAGCCGGTGGATGATGTGGTTAACAGCACACCGGCTACCTTTACTTCCCCTGAATATACGTGGTAATCACTCAAGGCTGGATCGACCCGGGAGTCAAGGTCTTTAAAAAACAAAAAGTACGGCTTCGTCAGGACTCGAAGCCAAGACCTTCCGATCAGCAGGCTAGCATGTAGCCACTACACCACAACGGCTCCCAGAATCTCACTACTGCTAGTGGTGATACAAGGGAAAGTATAGCCTCGAGTGTTCGGCTGCTGCCTTACGGACCACATTAGCCCTTCCGAGCTGTTTGGTTACCGAAATTACGAATCTTACCTTGACCTAATGAGTGTCACATTAATTTTGTCTGAAAACTGACAAAAAACATCAAAAAATAAAGTAATAAAACTTCTTGGCTTGTAGCAGAAGTCAAGATGTCGCCGTTGCACAGAATACAGGATGAGACAGAAAGACATTTGACAACGCTGGAGTTCCCATCTGTGGAGACACTGATGAATAATGTGTCTGAGCCTGAGACAGGCTTCAGCTAAGTGCATTTAACTACAGCTGCGCCGTCTTTGAGTCTCTTCAAGGCAGCCCATATCTCCGTTTATTACAGAGCTGAAACCGTTAAGATGATCACGTGCCACAGGACGTCGTGCTGTACAATTTATCTCCTGTTGCTTTTGAGTTTTCTCCTGACGTTTTAACGGCCTTGTTTGTCTGCCGGTTGTTTCCTTATGTCCACAGTGGATGATTTAAGGGACTCTTGTCTGCTGCATTCATCTCACTCATGCTCGTTTCTCAAGTCAAGTTGCCGTTAGACATATTTCTTCTATGCCCCGTGGCATATTTCGTTTTGTGGCTTCAACTTCTTTAGTCTGGACAACTTTGCTGTCGATGACGTGGTCAGTATCCGTCGTGCCCTCAATATGTGGCCTATAGTATCAACCTGGTTGTCGATATTTGACGGAGCCAGTTTCAGTAGGGTCTCAATATTGCAGGGAGTCAGTTTTATTAAAGGTCTCAATATTTGACGGAGTCAGTTTTATTAGGGTCTCGATATTTGACGGAGTCAGTTTTATTAGGGTCTCAATATTTGACGAAGTCAGTTTCAGAAGGGTCTCGATATTAGACGGAGTCAGTTTTATTAAGGTCTCAATATTTGACGGTTCAGTCTTAGACAGGCTCTTGATATTTGCCGTGTTCAGTATCAGACTAGCTCCGTAGACTGTCTTATGTTTCCTAGTACAGATGTGGCTAAAGCGGGATTTCACCTCAGACAAACAGGTGGGCAGGTAGGTTGGCTTGCCACAGGCCAGCGGCGCCTTCTGACCTGTCTGTTAGCGGTTCCTATGAAGTAAACAACAATTAGCGACACCATCACGTGTAGTCAGAAAACTGTACCTGCAGAACAGTTAGTGCCTAAGATGTCTTCAAACAGAAGTGCTTGACGTGAAACAGTTTTGAGTCGATGCTCTGTTGATGGTAATCTGCTGGAGAAGGTCACAGAGACTGAACAAAAAATGTGGCGACAAAGGAAGCAAGAAGAATAGCATCAAAAGGAAGTGGCGACAGGGAGAGAGAATGAGGAAAGCTTTGTAAACAAACGATTAAATATAGATATTATTGCCTATCTAAAGGAGTCGCCAGAAGCAGGACATTGAGTGGGAGGTAAAAGCCATTTGGGGTTATAAATCAGCAAGATGACACGGTCACGATCTCTTTATCTGGTGTTGTAGTTGCCAGCAACAATAGCCAGTGTTTGTTATGACAGCTATTCATGGAGTTCACTGACATTTTTGTAGCCAATCGGTTCTGAGAGGGCAGGGACCAGTCAGTGTTTGGAGGATAGTAGCCAGCATTAGGCCGCCTCTTTCCCATGACATTTCCCAACACTAATGTAACAATGGGTCAAAAGGGCGCTAGAATCAATCAATTAAAAAAATCCACTTCTTTGGCGATTTGAACCTGTGATATCTGGACCTACATGAGAAGGTTCCATATGGAGCATTCAGGGTCCCTGGGAAAAATAGTGTGCTGAAGGCCCTACGCCAGTTACTGACAGCAACGACATTTTATTAATGACAAGTCACTGGACACATGGGGCCCCATTGCTGGTGGGGTCCCTCAGTAGGCTCCCAGCCTGCCCCCGCGTTAAGACGGTTCTGGTTCTAACCACTGTGCTTACGGTAAAGAAAAAGAAGAAGAAGAAGAAGAAGAAGAAGAAGAAGAAGAGGAAGAAAAAGAAGAAGAAGAAGAAGAAGAAGAAGAAGAAGAAGAAGAAGAAGAAGAAGAAGAAGAAGAAGAAGAAGAGGAAAGAAGAAGAAGAAGAAGAAGAAGAAGAAGAAGAAGAAGAAGAAGAAGAAGAAGAAGAAGAGGAAGAAGAAGAAGAAGAAGAAGAAGAAGAAGAAGAAGAAATAACGACTAAGAGGATACGAGTGGCAGAAGACATGTCAGTGATTTATGAAAAAATATATGACAATGTGGGAACATTCATGACAAGAGCAGCCTGGCTAATGTTCGGTGACAGATGTACCAGGTAACGTGTGCAGGAAACTTCAACAGATCAAGAAAACATGGCCGAGCCGAGACCGGTCTTGGTCGAGCTTTCCTTGACTGCATTTCCTGTCCGGGGATCAGAGCGTCAAAACCGCAACATACGTGGCTATTCTTGTCTCGACTGTCAGCATATTTTGTTATGTTCAGAGAAGGAAATGGCCTCGGAGTTGCCACTGGGTGCAACGACTACCATGTTTGTCAACTGTTATTAACTCGGCTGACAGTCGTGTCACACGGTTTATTATGAAAGGCCGGGAAAGTATAGTGACCATGCGCGTGTATGTAAGTCTCTGTGTATTTATTGCGAGTAGGAGCCATATGAATAAGTGTATGTGGGAGAGGGGGTGTTAATATTCTGATTTATCTGAATGGTTTGTATACATATGGAGACCACGAGAAAGGGGGGGGGGGGGGGGAAGACATGGAGGCTTAGCCCTCATCCCCCCACCAATTTTGTGTTGTTGAGATGAGCAAGGCGACTTAAGGTGCCTCCCACCCCTTACCCCTTACCCCCCCCCCCCTTTGTTTTTGTCACCGAACATTTCAATATCGCCGGACAGGTTCCCTCTTTAGGTATGTCTTCATACCTTTCAAATTCTTTCAAATATATATTTATAATTTAGTGCAATAGTAATAACAATGGCTACAAATATTTCGTACTTAAAACAAGGCTTCATCTGACTGAGCATCCCCTCTTTCCCCCACACAATTTATCTTTGTCGGTACCACCCCTCGAGCGGTACCGTATGTGCTTGTTTTGTGTGTTATGTGGGAGTGTATTTGAGTGTTTGTATGGGTGTGTTTGGGTGTATGTGTGCGTGTGTGGGTGGGGTTGCGTTTGGGCCATATAGGTGTGTGGGTGTGGTTCGTGTAGATGTGTGTTGAGAGTGTGTGGTTTGTGTCGGTGTATGTGGGTGTGCATGTGGGTGTGCGCTGGGAACATTTTGGGATGCCTGCTGGACTGACCGACTCGCCAGGTGTGCTATAATACTTGCTAGCCCAGTGACTTCACCAGATAATCTGGCTCAGTGTAACACTGGACTAAACAAACGTTCTTGTCTCCACACTGAACTTTGTACCAGTTGCTAACTATGGCAGTATCTCGCGGCAAGTCCCTGTATCTTCCATTGTGTAACTCTAATCCTACTATTTAAACGCCTTGAGACTGGTATTTTTTCTAAACCACCAACCGCAGGATTTGAACCCTTGTGAACATCGCCAATCCCTAGGCCAAGAGTCACAACAACTTGATTTGTGTGGTTTAAAACTGACTTAAAGGGGGTCCAGGAAATACCAAGCTAGACTTGGCAACGCTTGAATCAAATCATGAAATGAGCTATAGACACACCATTACTGTTCACAATAGATACACCCTTACTGTTCACAATAGATACACCATTACTGTTTACAATAGATACACCATTACTGTTCACAATAGACACACCATTACTGTTCACAATAGACACACCATTACTGTTTACAATAGACACACCATTACTGTTTACAATAGACACACCATTACTGTTTACAATAGACACACCATTACTGTTTACAATAGACACACCATTACTGTTCACAATAGACACACCATTACTGTTTACAATAGATACACCATTACTGTTTACAATAGACACACCATTACTGTTTACAATAGATACACCAATACTGTTTACAATAGATACACCATTACTGTTTACAATAGATACACCATTACTGTTTAAAATAGATACACCATTACTGTTTACAATAGATACACTATTACTGTTCACAATAGATACACCATTACTGTTCACAATAGACACACCATTACTGTTCACAATAGACACACCATTACTGTACACAATAGACACACCATTACTGTTTACAATAGATACACCATTACTGTTCACAATAGACACACCATTACTGTTCACAATAGATACACCATTACTGTTTACAATAGATACACCATTACTGTTTACAATAGATACACCATTACTGTTTACAATAGACACACCATTACTGTTTACAATAGATACACCATTACTGTTTACAATAGATACACCGTTACTGTTCACAATAGATAAACCATTACTGTTCACAATAGATACACCGTTACTGTTCACAATAGATACACCGTTACTGTTTACAATAGATACACCCTTACTGTTTACAATAGACACAACGTTATTGCAAAGAAAGAAAAGCAGTATAGATAAACAATGGCAAATGCTGAAAGAGTCATTACAACAGACATCAAAATAAATATTACCAGAAGTAAAAAAGACAGCAAAGAAAAAAAAATGGATGACAGAGGAAATTTTACATACGAAGAATTAGAAGAAAAAAATGAACACAACCAAGATGTATATAAAAGAATACACCGAGAGACTGTTCATGAATGTAATGTAGCGCAAGAATAATAAGTGCAAAAAAAAATGAGGAACAAATAGAAAACACACAAGACGTGTATAAAAGAATACAAGAACCATCAGGTTTTATAAAATATACAATAAATAGTTGCTTAAAAAAAAAAAAAAAAAAGAAGGTGAAATATTAATGAACAAAGAGGGGGTAATTGCAAGATGGATAGAGCATATAAAATAGCTATACAACGATAATAGCTGACCAGACACAGAGAGTCAGGAGTACTAGGAATGACCGCTGATATTGAAAGTAGAAGTAGAAGATGATATAAAATGGAAGTAAATCTCCAGGGCCAGATAACATTATAATTGAAGAATTAAAAGCTGCGGTTGAACTGACTGGGTTTAGAAGTTTTGATACAATTATTCAGTGATATGTTTAACAGTGGAAACGTACCTGATGACCTTTTAAATCTCTTTTCATTCCTTCATCAAAAACACCTGGTGCGGTGAAATACGGAGAACATCGAACAATTAGTTCAGTGACTCATGTAACTAAAATATTATTGAGAATGATCATGAAAAGAATAAGGTGCAAAATTAAACCAGAAATTGGAGAAGAGCAGTGTGGTTTTGTTGCAGGTAAAGGCACAAACAACGCCATGTTTATCTTGAGAACACTTTCAGACAGAATGATTGACATGAATAGAAATCTGTATGTGTGCTTTCTTTGTCAAATGCGACGAGAAACAGAATTATTAAAAGTTATATAAATCCTATATTGATATACGGATGTGAACCATGGAAAGTTAGAAATTAGTGAAAACACGTGGAAACTGCGGAAATGTGATATTTTACACGAATGATGAGAATACCTAGATCAGAGTAATGAAGACGTCTTCAAAGAAACTGACTCACGAAGAGAACTGACTGCCCAATCAGAAAGAGACAATCTACAATTCTTTAGTCATGTGATGAGAAGGAGAAAACTGGAGTACAGTGTGACGGTAAGAAAGTTGAAGGGGAGGAGAGGCAGAGGGAGACCAAGAGAACAGATGCTAGACAGTCTGACATGGAGGATCATCTGTGTCAGAGTTGATAGAAAGTACTCGAAACAGAAGGTTATGGACATACATGACAAAGATGACGTGACAAGGCGATACGGCATGGACTAACGAGGACAAGAAAACTGTTTATAGCTTCAGATTCTCAGGCTGTCGTATGTACTTGTGGCTACTGCTCCGTTGCTAATGTATGTGCCTTAGGGTTGTGAACGCAGCTTCACAATATAGATATACTAGTATCAGAAGTCGGTTGCTGGCGATTTGGTAACAGGCAGTTGCACGTTTATTTTAATTAACAAGAGTGTAAACGTCGTACTGTTTAGAAAGTTATGACAGACTGAAGGTCGTAAAACTGACGAGTGAACAGCTAACAGCTAATCAGTATTGGGTTAATTTGTGTCGTTCCTATCAAGGACTGCAATTATATGTAACCACGCCGTTGTTGTCCTACTGGAGCAGGGCTCCCAGGTCGACCCAGCCTGAAATGGGTACGAGGTAGAGTCCTGGGGATTAAATGCGGCCGGCGTGATGTTAACCACATCACTTATCGAGTGCTAATTGATCTATATTATATACGTCTAGCCGTATATGCCGAAACGCCTAAAACTGTTACAGTTAAAATTTGCGCAACTGTTCTCATTTTCTATTATTGATTAATTGATGATGGTTTTTTTGTTGACAGCTCAGATGCCTGGCATGGGCGGCATGGGCGGCATGGGCGGCATGATGCCCTTGTTGCTTAGCCGTGGTGGTGGCGGCGGCATGGGCGAGAACATGGGTCTAATCATCCTGTCCTTATTGAGTCAACAGGCCAGCGGCGGCGGCGGCGGCGGTGGCGGAATGGCCGGCATGCTGCCTATGATGATGGCAATGAGAGGAGGCGGTGGTGGCAGTGAAATGATGATGCCAATGATGTTGATGATGAATCAGCTAAGCGCATCTGGTGGTGGTGGTGGTGGCGGCGCTGGAGGACTGATGAGCAACCCGATGATGATGTTGCCCTTGCTGCAAGGGGGAGGAGGAGACCAGTTGATGAGGATGATGCCTCTGCTGTTGATGCAGAACCAGGGAGGTGCAGGAGGCCCCGCGGATCCAACCGGCTCCTCAGGGGGCGCAGCTGGAGGTATGGGCGGCATGGGCAGTATGGCCCCACTCCTCCTCTCTGGAGCTATGGGAGCATAAATAAATCCACCAGCAACTCCAGCACTCCCAGTTCCGTTGAAGCAGCAGCCATGTTTGTGAAGTCTACACACATGATTTCGTCTCAGACACCATCCCATCAGTGCATCAGTACCGACAATCATCGCAGAGGCCAGCCATGCAGCTTTTGAGACTCCGGTGTCATGTTTAATACAAGCACATTAGACAGTTCCCACCCCTAAAAAAAAAAAAAAAACAATAAACAGGCTTTTCCCAACATCGGAAATAATTTATTTAGATTTTGTCCACAGTTTATGCTATTAAACGTGTCTACATGTATGTCAGAATTTAGTATAGTGGAAAAGTGGTCAGGATTTTAGAAAACTAAAGATTCTCTTCAATCTTTGAGCGTCATGGACATTTTTCTCATGTCATGAACTCAACACAGTTACAGTTCCCAATGTGTACATTCTGAGCTGTAGAAGTATATGTTTAAATACAGGGAAATGTTTCATTTTTGAATTAGTACACTGTGTTGGCGTTGTTTTGTTTCGTAGTTCTATTTTCGACTTTTACGTGTCTGGCTGTAAATATGTTGTGTCGTCAATATCCTGGACGGCAAAAAAAAAAAAAAAAACAACTGATGTTTATAGAATGACTGTCAGTTTGTCCGCTCCGGGCTGATACCACCTCTGCTACTTGAAGAGTAACATCGTGGATGTCAAACCAAAATGGAAAATGCCAGTTACCCATGTACTACCCTGATGTAGCTGGTAGAGAAAATAATAAGTGTGTGTGCCATGCCGTTTTCCTCATAAAGGTTTGACATCCTAAGATTACCAAATCTCGTTCTAGTGGCACGCCAACATGGCAGATCGTAGATAGTCTCGTGGGAAGTTATAAACGAGGCGTTCGTAGGGGCTACATCAGTCCTGTGTGACCCGTAGTCTTGTGTGACCCGTAGTCTTGTGTGACCCGTAGTCTTGTGTGACCCGTAGTCTTGTCTCACCCGTAGTCTTGTGTGACCCGTAGTCTTGTGTGACCCGCAGTCTTGTGTGGCCCGTAGTCTTGTCTCACCCGTAGTCTTGAGTGACCCGTAGTCTTGTGTGACCCGTAGTCTTGTGTGACCCGCAGTCTTGTGTGACCCGTAGTCTTGAGTGACCCGTAGTCCTGTGTGACCCGTAGTCTTGTGTGACCCGCAGTCTTGTGTGACCCGTAGTCTTGTGTGACCCGTAGTCTTGTGTGACCCGTAGTCTTGTGTGACCCGCAGTCTTGTGTGACCCGCAGTCTTGTGTGACCCGTAGTCTTGTGTGACCCGTAGTCTTGTGTGACCCGTAGTCTTGTGTGACCCGTAGTCTTGTCTCACCCGTAGTCTTGTCTCACCCGTAGTCTTGTGTGACCCGTAGTCTTGTCTCACCCGTAGTCTTGTGTGACCCGTAGTCTTGTGTGACCCGTAGTCTTGTGTGACCCGTAGTCTTGTGTGACCCGTAGTCTTGTGTGGCCCGTAGTCTTGTGTGACCCGCAGTCTTGTCTCACCTGTACTCTTGTGTGACCCGTAGTCTTGTGTGACCCGTAGTCTTGTGTGACCCGTAGTCTTGTGTGACCCGCAGTCTTGTGTGACCCGTAGTCTTGTGTGACCCGTAGTCTTGTGTGACCCGTAGTCTTGTCTCACCCGTAGTCTTGTGTGACCCGCAGTCTTGTGTGACCCGTAGTCTTGTGTGACCCGCAGTCTTGTGTGACCCGTAGTCTTGTCTCACCCGTAGTCTTGTGTGGCCCGTAGTCTTGTGTGACCCGTAGTCTTGTGTGACCCGTAGTCTTGTGTGACCCGCAGTCTTGTCTCACCTGTACTCTTGTGTGACCCGTAGTCTTGTGTGACCCGTAGTCTTGTCTCACCTGTACTCTTGTGTGACCCGCAGTCTTGTCTCACCTGTACTCTTGTGTGACCCGTAGTCTTGTGTGACCCGTAGTCTTGTCTCACCCGTAGTCTTGTGTGACCCGTAGTCTTGTGTGACCCGTAGTCTTGTGTGACCCGTAGTCTTGTGTGGCCCGTAGTCTTGTCTCACCTGTACTCTTGTGTGACCCGCAGTCTTGTCTCACCTGTACTCTTGTGTGACCCGTAGTCTTGTGTGACCCGTAGTCTTGTCTCACCCGTAGTCTTGTGTGACCCGTAGTCTTGTGTGACCCGTAGTCTTGTGTGACCCGTAGTCTTGTGTGACCCGTAGTCTTGTGTGACCCGTAGTCTTGTGTGACCCGCAGTCTTGTGTGACCCGTAGTCTTGTCTCACCCGTAGTCTTGTGTGACCCGTAGTCTTGTGTGACCTGTACTCTTGTGTGACCCGTAGTCTTGTGTGACCCGTAGTCTTGTGTGACCCGTAGTCTTGTGTGACCCGTAGTCTTGTGTGACCCGCAGTCTTGTGTGACCCGTAGTCTTGTGTGACCCGTAGTCTTGTGTGACCCGTAGTCTTGTGTAGCCCGTAGTCTTGTGTGACCCGTAGTCTTGTGTGACCCGTAGTCTTGTCTCACCCGTAGTCTTGTCTCACCCGTAGTCTTGTGTGACCCGCAGTCTTGTGTGGCCCGTAGTCTTGTGTGACCCGCAGTCTTGTGTGACCCGTAGTCTTGTGTGACCCGCAGTCCTGTGTGACCCGTAGTCTTGTCTCACCCGTAGTCTTGTCTCACCCGTAGTCTTGTGTGACCCGCAGTCTTGTGTGACCCGTAGTCTTGTGTGACCCGCAGTCTTGTGTGACCCGTAGTCTTGTGTGACCCGCAGTCCTGTGTGACCCGTAGTCTTGTGTGACCCGTAGTCTTGTGTGACCCGTAGTCTTGTCTCACCTGTACTCTTGTGTGACCCGTAGTCTTGTGTGACCCGTAGTCTTGTCTCACCCGTAGTCTTGTGTGACCCGTAGTCTTGTGTGACCCGTAGTCTTGTGTGACCCGTAGTCTTGTGTGACCCGTAGTCTTGTGTGACCCGCAGTCTTGTCTCACCTGTACTCTTGTGTGACCCGTAGTCTTGTGTGACCCGTAGTCTTGTGTGACCCGTAGTCTTGTGTGACCCGTAGTCTTGTGTGACCCGCAGTCTTGTGTGACCCGTAGTCTTGTGTGACCCGTAGTCTTGTCTCACCCGTAGTCTTGTGTGACCCGCAGTCTTGTCTCACCTGTACTCTTGTGTGACCCGTAGTCTTGTGTGACCCGTAGTCTTGTGTGACCCGTAGTCTTGTGTGACCCGTAGTCTTGTGTGACCCGCAGTCTTGTGTGACCCGTAGTCTTGTCTCACCCGTAGTCTTGTGTGGCCCGTAGTCTTGTGTGACCCGTAGTCTTGTGTGACCCGTAGTCTTGTGTGACCCGCAGTCTTGTCTCACCTGTACTCTTGTGTGACCCGTAGTCTTGTGTGACCCGTAGTCTTGTCTCACCTGTACTCTTGTGTGACCCGCAGTCTTGTCTCACCTGTACTCTTGTGTGACCCGTAGTCTTGTGTGACCCGTAGTCTTGTGTGACCCGTAGTCTTGTGTGACCCGTAGTCTTGTCTCACCTGTACTCTTGTGTGACCCGTAGTCTTGTGTGACCCGTAGTCTTGTCTCACCTGTACTCTTGTGTGACCCGTAGTCTTGTGTGACCCGTAGTCTTGTCTCACCTGTACTCTTGTGTGACCCGTAGTGTTGTGTGACCCGTAGTCTTGTCTCACCTGTACTCTTGTGTGACCCGTAGTCTTGTGTGACCCGTAGTCTTGTGTGACCCGCAGTCTTGTGTGACCCGTAGTCTTGTCTCACCCGTAGTCTTGTGTGGCCCGTAGTCTTGTGTGACCCGTAGTCTTGTGTGACCCGTAGTCTTGTGTGACCCGTAGTCTTGTGTGACCCGTAGTCTTGTGTGACCCGTAGTCTTGTGTGACCCGTAGTCTTGTGTGACCCGTAGTCTTGTGTGACCCGTAGTCTTGTGTGGCCCGTAGTCTTGTCTCACCTGTACTCTTGTGTGACCCGCAGTCTTGTCTCACCTGTACTCTTGTGTGACCCGTAGTCTTGTGTGACCCGTAGTCTTGTCTCACCCGTAGTCTTGTGTGACCCGTAGTCTTGTGTGACCCGTAGTCTTGTGTGACCCGTAGTCTTGTGTGACCCGTAGTCTTGTGTGACCCGCAGTCTTGTGTGACCCGTAGTCTTGTCTCACCCGTAGTCTTGTCTCACCCGTAGTCTTGTGTGACCTGTACTCTTGTGTGACCCGTAGTCTTGTGTGACCTGTAGTCTTGTGTGACCTGTACTCTTGTGTGACCCGTAGTCTTGTGTGACCTGTACTCTTGTGTGACCCGTAGTCTTGTGTGACCCGTAGTCTTGTGTGACCCGTAGTCTTGTGTGACCCGCAGTCTTGTGTGACCCGTAGTCTTGTGTGGCCCGTAGTCTTGTGTAGCCCGTAGTCTTGTGTGACCCGTAGTCTTGTGTGACCCGTAGTCTTGTCTCACCCGTAGTCTTGTGTGACCCGCAGTCTTGTGTGACCCGCAGTCCTGTGTGACCCGTAGTCTTGTCTCACCCGTAGTCTTGTCTCACCCGTAGTCTTGTGTGACCCGTAGTCTTGTGCGGCCCCTAGTCTTGTGTGGCCCGCAGTCTTCTGTGGCCCCTAGTCTTGTGTGGCCCGCAGTCTTCTGTGACCCCTAGTCTTGTGTGGCCCCTAGTCTTCTGTGGCCCCTAGTCTTGTGTGGCCCGCAGTCTTCTGTGGCCCCTAGTCTTGTGTGGCCCCTAGTCTTGTGTGGCCCGCAGTCTTCTGTGGCCCCTAGTCTTGTGTGGCCCCTAGTCTTGTGTGGCCCGCAGTCTTCTGTGACTAGTAATCTTGTGTGACTCACAGTCTTGTGTGGCCCGCAGTCTTGTGTGGCCCGTCGTCTTGTGTGACCCGTCGTCTTGTCTGACCCGTACTCTTGTGTGATCCGTCATCTTGTGTGGCCCGCAGTCCTGTGTATGTCAGATATTTTTGATAATGACAAGAAAACATTTCGTGCAAAAACATCATTATTTGGTTATAGCATCAGAACAGAGGCGTTGGAAACCATGGTTACACAGAGAAATG